TTTCACTCCATATATATGGCATTGCATAACAGACTATCCAAAAGGAATAGTAGAGAAGAGGATTAGAGAAAATTTGCTGTACCTAGAGTACTTACTGTGCCTTGGAAAATACTGCTTCAGAGACACTCAACTGTTAGGCTTCTCTTTTTCCTAGGATCCCAAACCTCTTATGGCTCAGGCTTATGAGGCCGAATATGAAACTACTCCACTTCTTCACTAGAGCATGTTAGATTCTTGGTCACTTGAGGGAACTAGGGAGAAGATTCCTGGTTTGAACTCGGGGACTGCACTTAGCTTAGCCTAACACTCTTAACATGAGACACACCTCTGAAAAGCCTGGCTTTGGTCTGGTTATTTTTGGAGCTGAAGTCTCACAGACTTTTCTATTTGGTTTGACTTCAAATCATGATCCTCCAGATCTCAGCCCCTTAAGTGGCTTAGATTGTAGGCATAAGAAAAAGGGGCCAACTCTGCTGGCTAAGCTTTTGATATTAATCCCTTACAGTTTATTAGGCCTTCCCAGAAGCAAATTTTCCCCAAGATGATTGATTCTTCCTTTTTTCTGAAAGTCACAACTGCCTTGTTTGTAACTTAAAATAGCAAAGTTTTCTTTCTTCAACCTGAAAATAAGGTATCATTAATGACTTTACCAAAATCACTCTAAAATTTAAAATGACTTAGTATTATTCTGCCTAATTATGGACATCTTTTGAAATCTCTGGTATACTACACTGAGTTTTCCTTTAAATAAAGTGGAATAAAAGCAACCCCAATTTGAACATATTTAACAGGTTGGAGATGAGGTGTTAAAATAAAGATATACCTCTAATAGTGACTTCTTAATTTTGGAGGTAAAGGGAACCACTGAAAATAGGAAAGTCCCTAAATCTGGATTACCTCTATCCAAAGTAACATTACCTTTTTGTATGAAGAGAACTTATCACAGGCATCTTAGCAATATCTGATTTTATATTAACAGAAGCTATATTCTTGGAAATATTGGATATTTTCACATCACATTCTAGTTGCAGATACCTCAAAATACAGTTTATGTTCATCACTACCTTGAAATTGACTGTATTATACCAAATGCTAAATCTTATTTAATATTCAATAGATGTAACACTATCACAAACCCTCTAAAAATTTCATAGCTACTTCAATTTAATCAGCTTCCTTTCTAATTGTGTATTTTATGTAGTTAAAAACAACTGAGACTCCAGTTTTCAAAGGGTATCACTATACAAATTTAAGAGTTCTAAAAGTAAAATGACAGTTTAGCTTCAGTTTCTATTTCCCATTCTTCATGCATTTTACCAACTATGAATTTTTGGACTTTGAGCTTATTATTCTTCTGGATTTGGTTAAGGATGTATATATAAAAAGTGAGAGTGAAAATATAAACAACAAAAACCCAAAATGCTAACAAACAGCCTTCTACTTCACAGAGGAAATTACCCAACTTGGCCATATAAGAAAGGAGCCACATGCAGTGCCTGCCCCCAAAGTGACAAGTGTGTGGAAAACCTCTGTAGTAAGTAAAAGTAACCACCTATCATAAAGCAATGTAATAGATATTACTGTTGTGCCTTTATAAAAGAATTAAGAGTACAACTATTTGTTTTGTCCAAGTTACTATTTTCTTTTTTTTTGGTCCGGTTGTGGGACCTGAACTCTAAGCCTGAGCACTGTCCCTCAGCTCTTCAGCAAAAGGCTAGCGCTCTACTACTTGAGCCACAGTGCCACTTCCAGCTTTTTTCTTTTTGCTTACGTGGTGCTGAGGAATCAAACCCAGGGCCTCAGGCATGCAAGGTAAGCTCTCTACCACTGAGCCACCCTCCCAGCCCAAGTTACTATTTTCAAGGAAATCAAAAGAAGCTGGGCTGAGGGCCCAGGAGGGGATCTGCTGATTGTGGTTTGACACCAGCCCCAGAAGGAAAGCCCAAGAGACTCCAGTGAACCACCAATAAGCCAGAAGTGGAACAGTGGCTCCAATGGTGGAGTGTTAGCCTAGAGCTAAAACTCAAAAACTCAGGGAAAGTTAGAGTAGCCGCTTCATTTGTATCAATTAATCCCAATCCCTGATATGATCACAGATGTTCATAAGGGACCAGACTAACAGGAAGATGTTTGAAATGGACAAAAGAACCTACTGTCTATCACTGATTTAGTACAAACAGTACCATCTTTCTGGAAAATACTTCATAATCTTTTGCCTCTATTAGTTATTTCTAATATTTCCTTATTTGAATGTTTTAAATTTTAGTGTTCCAATTTTAAATTGAATTTAACACTATCCACTATAGTATAATTTTCCAGCAGTGATAATTTCCATTATCCAAAAAACTTATGTATTAAATTTATACAAAATGTAAACTTAAAAATGTACCAAGTTAAAACTACAAAAAAAGCCCTGAATAACCTTTTTTTTTTTTTTTGGTCAGTTGTGGGGCTTGAACTCGGCCTGGGTGCTGTCCCTCAGCTCTTCAGCTTAAGGCAAGCGCTCTACCATTTGAGCCACAGCGCCACTTCCTGTTTTCTGATGGTTTATTAGAGATAAAAGTTTCATTGACTTTCCTGCCCAGGCTGGCTTTCAACTGTGATCCTCAGATCTCAGCCTCCTGAATAGCTAGGAATACAGGCGTGAGCCACCAGTGCCCAGCCTGAATAACCTTTGAAAGTCATTGCAACAAAGTTCTGTCAATTTAATGGTTCTAAAGATTTACTTTTTTCAACACAAGAAACATCAGCCTCACCTGTACCTAACCTTTTTTCAAATTCTCCCTGCTTTTGCAGCTAATCCACAGCGAGACAAAGTCACACGTATGTATATTACCTTGTTACAAGAAGCATTATGTGATTATGACATTGCATCATATGAAACAATGTGTAAGATGTCATCTACGTTTATTTCACAGGTTACTATTCTGTTGATTATCCAGACTGGCCCATATATTCTCGGAACAGATACACATCTCTCTTTCTCATTGTTAAGTCCATAATTCTAATACTGTCTGTTATAATGACAATTTTCATAAAGCACAAGTACCCTAATTTAACTATTATGGACTAACAAATCAGGGGCAGAAAGAAGAATGTGGCTTCTAAAAAAATTATATAAATTTTCATTGGGTATATTTTCTATTTTAAATTGTTTTTATTTTTTAATGTTCCTTCAGTAAAAAGCCTTATTTAAATGAAAACTATTCAGTATCTTGTCTCTATGAAACACTCGCCTTACTTACTTTCTACTTTTTTATTAGTATTATTTTTAGGTTGCCATGTTAGACTCCTAGGAGGTCAGTGGGCTCCACATTTCAACTTCCAAATCTACAAAATCAGTGATGTAGATTTAGGTGGTTTAATTACCTTCTGAGTTAGTTAACTTCCCACTAGTTAAGGAATTAACATTTGAGGGGAAAAAGAAAAGAAAAAAAAAGACATTAACATTCTGGTAAGCATGTAAGACTGAGACAGGAGGATCAAAAGTGCCAGGCCAGCTGGCCCAGACTACACACAGAACCCATCTCCGAAGACAAGAAAGGTATCACTGATCCTCACTGCTCCTTCAACTCTTACCACTTGGTTTTCTATGTTTTCTTCCAACTGGTTGTCTTTTCCTTTACCACTTACCCAGACTCAAAACAGAGGAGTAACTACAGGATTTGATTTCAGAGGCCTGCTTATAAACTTGAATTGAGGTATAAATAAAATTGTAAAAAAAGAGAAAAAGGGGCTGGGAAGGTGGCTCAGTGGTAGAGCGCTTGCCTTGCATGCACGAGGCCCTGGGTTCCATACCTCAGCACCACATAAACAAAAAAAAGAAAAAAGCCGCAAGTGGCGCTGTGGCTCAAGTGGTAGAGCACTAGCCTTGAGCTGAAGAGCTGAGGGACAGCACCTAGGCCCAGAGTACAGGTCCTACGATTGGACCCCCCCCCCAAAAAAAAAAAAGAGAGAAAAAGGACAAGCCAAAATATTAGTATCAATAGAGAGGAATAAAGAGCACTGAAATGTTTGCATTAATTTTTCTCAAAACCAAATGCTGGGAGATTATTTTATCTAGAGACCAAGCAATAATATCAGACACGGGAGTTAATGTATAATTACAATTGCCACATTCCCAAAATACTGGATATAAAACAAAAACTAGAAGCTAGTATAGTTGATCATGCCTATAATCCTAGCTACTCACAAAGCTGAGTTCATGGGGCTTGTGGTTCAAGGCCAGCCTAAGGAAAATATTAGTGTAGGCCTTCATCTAGAAGAAAATATTGGACACAATAGTGTGCACCTGTTATCCCAGTAATGTTAGGAAGAATAAATAGGAAAACGACAGTCCAAGCCAATCCGGGTAGAAAGCAAACTCAGATCTCAGAGAACAGAAAGGGATGAAGGCATAGCCCAAGTACTAGAGTGCAAGTGTAAAGCCTTGCATCCAAACTCCAATACCACCACCACCCTTAAAAGAACCTGAAAGTTATTGCTAAAATTAAGCTTCCACAAAACCTGCCTGTCATTCATTGATTGATTAAACAAAATGTTCACAAAGATATATACCACTTTCTAGCACAAATTTTTCAAAATACACATAAAAGATTTTAAATATCGTTCTATTAACAAAAAAAAAAGACAAAAGAAAAAGTATCAATATTATTTCTCACAGATAGAGGCAAGTAATGCCCTGATTTCTAGAAATCCTTTACAAAAGGAGATAGCTTCATAAGTACTACTTTAGATTTGTGTGCGCCAACCAATACAGGGCTTGAACTCAAGGCCTGGATACTGTTCCTTTTTCACTGAGCTTTTTCACTCAAGGCTGGTGCTCTATCACTTGAGCCACAGCTCCACTTTTTGCTTTTTGGTGGTTAATTGGAGGTAAGAGTCTCACAAACTTTTCTGTCCAGGCTGACTTCAAACTGCAATCCTTAGATCACAGTCTCTGGAGGAACTAGGATTACAGGCATGAGCCACTAGTGCCTGGCTTCTAGTTCAGCTTTCTATGTTATTTTTTCTTCTTTTTCTTTCCATCTGCTTCCATCTTAAGCTTAACTTCCTCAGCTGTAAGAGCTCCCAGCTTCTTCATTTTTGCTTTCTTAACTTTTTCTTTGATGCTCGCCACGTCAATTTTAGTTTCAGTAGAAGCTAGAAAAATTATAAAGAAAATATATGCAGCTCTTTAGAAAAGATGTTAAAGGTAGTAACTTCACAGTATTATTTTAATAATTGTAGGTCATGTTACAAAATATAAAGCACCTTCCTAAAGGGAAGTAAGGAACTCATCCATCAGTAAAAACACATGAAAATGGCATGATAATTTATTGATCCACTATGCTAAAACTATAGTTTTTCAATAATTCCAGACATGTTGACCTATATTTTCTTCTATATTTTAGAAATTCAGAAAGCTCACTAACACATCAATTTTCCATCTAGCATATAAAAATAATTTAAGTTACTTCTCATGAAAAATATTAGCTAAATAGGAAGCTACAGGTCACAATCATGAAGACCACAATAAAAACTTAAATAAACTGGTCACAAATTATTTTTAACAAGATTTTTGGTAGTAAAGGCAGTATTTGAGAGTATATGATGGTCTTCCTAAACAATGCCAAAAGCATGAATAAAACAGAAGCAATAAAATAAACGTAGCCGTTTCTTATCACTTAAGTTACAGTATTCGGATCATAAAACAAGATACAATGTCACTATACTAACAATATAGCCACCAGAGTTGTAAGATTTAAGCCTCCACTATACAAAGCATGTTATCCTTAATCACTACAGACCCAGTTAACTAGCTACCAGGTAATTCCAATATGTTGAAAACTATAATGAAATACATTTATTTATAATTAAAACTGAAAATTATAATGCTAAGATACTTTACCTTTTATAAAACCAATTATATTCACAGAATATAGTGTTTTAAGCAATCCTGAGCAGAGAGAGAAATGCTGGAGACCCATTGTAATAAAAAAGGATGGGGTTGGCACAAAATCTGACATCCAGACCAATGTAAAAGAATACAGAACCCAAAAATAAACCAAGCAGTTACTGTCATCTGGTTCTTCACATAGGTACTAAAAACATGCACTGGAATAAAAGAAAAGCTCTTGAAACAAGTAATGCCAGGAAAACTGGATAGCACACGTACAACACAGAAATTAGACCACTATAGTTCACTGCACACACAAAAAAACTCAAAATGGATCCAACACCTTAATATAGAACCTGAAAACTTCAAAAGTATTACAAGAAATATAGGGAAAACATTTCAAGAACAGAACTCCAAAAGCTCATAAAATAAATGCAAAAAAAGAAAAAAAAATCAAATGAACAAGAACAGTAAAGCAAAACAGGATTTCCACAGAGTAATGTGGTAGTTCTGTAATTGACCTATAGTTTATATACAGCATTGCCAATAATCCTTTGGCCGTCCATGAGCCACCTCTGACTTTGGAGGGTTGATCTACTCAGAACACAAGTGCTACTAGAAGGAGAGGATAGGCTAGAAATAGAGAAAAGGCAAAAGTGTTTCTTCCTTTTAGTTTCTTTTGACCTTCTGTCATTCTTCTGTCAATGCTCTACATTTCCAAGTGATAAGAAATTCACAGTAACACCAAAACAAATGTCAAGCCGAAGATCAAATAAGTAAAAAGGACAACTTCCGAAAAGCCATTTCTAAGATGCATGATAGCAGACTAAAGGATCGTAGTCCTTCACATACTCTTATTCTTATCAAGGATATAAAATGCTCTGGGTTTATCTTCCCAAGCACAGATCAGAGCTTGGAGGACTACCATTCCTGGGCACTCTATCAGGCATTAACTGCTTGCTACTAATTTCCTAACTGCCTGTCATCTCTTGTCCCTAAGCTTAGTAAACTAATGAAATGCCAAGACAAATGATGAAGAACATGGTTATTTCCTAACATGAGTCAAATAAAAATCACTGTAAGTTTGTCATGAATAATATTAAGTGAAAAATGAACATTACCTTCCTTTGGTTTCACAGTTGGTTTTTCTTTAGGTGGAATAAATGCTTTGTTTCTTTCCTCTTGTCTCTTACTAAGAACTTCTGCTTGTTTAGCCTACATTAGTAAGAAACATATTAGTAAAGTACAACTTAAACTTAATAAGACTTCAAGCAGCTATGAACTTTTTCTATTAATGAGATAGATATAATGAATTTTACCTTTACTGCTTCCATTTTCTGTCGTTTCTTCTGATTTGCCTTCAAAAAGTATTCACCACTAGCCAGTTCTTTATCAATCTAATGAAAACAGTATTTATGAAATTACATCAGAAATAATGCAATGACAATTTTCTAAGAAAGCTAGGGCATAAAAACAGTGGAATTAACATTCTATGATGAAATAATAAGCTTCAAGAAGGAACTATACTCAAAGCTGAAATACAAACATGGAGTTAGCTAGGAGAAAAGGGATTGTGTTCACTAATACTAAACAGACTAAATCAGGTGGGGAGGAAGGTCAGGATTCAGAAAAGAGAGAAAACGCAAAAAGATAAGTTTTGGAGAAGCTTGAAGAAAACCAAATACGAGGCAAGGAGGTGGAATATGACTTTAAAATGACAAGGTAAGGTGGGTATGGTGGCATGCTTTGGGATCACAACAATCAAAAGTTGAGGCAGAAGGATCATGAATTTGAAGGATTCTGAGTAGAGAGAAGAAACAAAAACAGCATTTTTCTTTTAAAAGTTTTAGAGTTCTGGGCTGGGAAGGTGGCTCAGTGGTAGAGTGCTTGGCTTATAATGCATGAGGCCCTGGGTTCGATTCCTCAGCACCACATAAGAAAAAAGCCGAAGTGGCGCTGTGGCTCAAGTGGTAGAGCGCTAGCCTTGAGCTGAAGAGCTGAGGGACAGTGCCCAGGCCCAGAGTTCAGGCCCCACGACCGGACTCAAAAAAAAAAAAAAAAAAGTTTTAGAGTTCTGATGGGAAGTTGTGATACAAAGCAAAAAGGGAACTTAAAACCAAGATGGGGGGGCTAGGAAGGTGGCTCAGTGGTAGAGCACTTGCCTTGCATGCATGAGGCCCTGGGTTCAATTCCCCAGCACCACATAAGCAAAAAGAAAAAAAGCTGGAAGTGGTGCTGTGGCTCAAGTGGTAGAGCGCTAGCCTTGAGCTGAAGAGCTGAGGAATAGCGCCCAGGGCCCAGAGTTCAGGCACCCCCACAACCAGACCCCTCCCCCCACAAAAAACCAAGATGGGTATGAAGAAAAAAGGAAATTCTGGTCATAGTTAGAAAGGAATTTTCCCAGAAATACAGCTGACAAAATGAAATTTGAAACTCAAAAAAAGGGTGGATGTTATAACTTAAGATGTAGTAAGTAAGCTACATCACTCTGTCCATTTACAGTGACTACCAGTGCACTAGTAACACTAGCCATCATATTCACAACATGAAGGCTCACTCTGAACAGCCCAACATTTGCTTAGCTCACAATATGCCTATTTACACCTTACCTTCAATTTCCTGTATTTCACCTAAACTACCCTCAATAAACTTCCTGACAGAATAGGTTGATGTTTCCCCTTCATGTAAAGGTGGGCACTCAATACTCACCTGGCTTTCTGGCTGGGGTGGTGGGAATGGTGTATACTCCTTCTTAACACTTTTCTTCTTTGGTTCTTTGCGTTTGTTCACATTTTTGTGTTTGAACTGTGGCAAAAATCTCTCCCAACTTTGTGATCGTAATTCAGAATCTTTTGCCAATTCTCGTTTAATCATTAAGGTCTATAGTCATACACACAAATAAAAAATGTAAATGTCAAATTCATACATACTGCTTGGATAAATAAAAATTTTAAAGGGACTGTTTCTGACCTTTCCAAGTGCACCATAAAAATGCCATCTTAAAAATGCACAATTTGTCAAGCACCATAAAAGAATTACAAACTTAGATAAAGAAACACAATTTAGTGAAAATAGTATGAAAATTAAGCTTTTCAACCATTATTTCATTAAAGCTTAGTAAGGAGGGTTCTCAATTAGCTGATGATTCCTTATAAGCAAATGGGAACTAGATAGGCTAAGAAAGAAGTAAATGTTCTAGTGGTTTTGACAAAAGTCAATTCTATTCTCCTATTTCTCCAGTTCATTTCAATTCTGTAGAAACTGAAGCAAAAGAGAACATCGAAAAGACATCAGAATGTACAATTAGCTTTCCTTTTATCTGTAATATCCTGATGTAACTCAAAATCACTTTCAATCTAATCTAGTGATTTTCAAGCTTTCAAATTCAGGTGAACTGCTCAACAAATACTCACTATAAAAGAACTTAATATACCATGGTTTTATTTCCAATTCTAATCACAAACTAAACTTTTTTCACACAAAAAAGGATATAGCAATTCTCTCTCAGAGAGGGTACAATGTTAGTAGTAACTTTCAAAGAAAATTTTAATGTAATCTGAGTCTAGATATTATTAGAAAACAGACTCCTAAAAAAAAAATCACATCCTTAAATATAATACATGGGCTTACTGTCCAATAAAATTGTTATCATCTATAATAATAAATTCTGTGAGGTTTATTATTATTGTATTAGAAATATAAAATGAGTAACAGCATTTCTTTCAATATTTTTTACATTGGAGATATAAGCCTCAAATGACTGCAGAAAAGCTGTGCAGGCTGAATTCTACCCCCAGTTCACTAATTCACCCCAAATAGCTGCTTTATCTGTCTATATATTAGGCTTTGATAAGTTTCATGAGAATTCAATCAAAGTTCCGTTGACTGGAAAGAACCTTCAATAAAACAAACTTGATGATCATTGCTATGGTGATTTGACACTTACTTTAATGTTATAAATTGGATGAATATTCTTCATGGTATCTAGTACTACTTTTCGAACCTGAAATTTGCAAAGTAAAATTAGTTAGTAACTTACAAAGATCTAAATGAACATGATAGAAGAGAAAAATCCTATGACTCAAGAAATGTTTACCACACTGAATCTAATAATTTCTTCAACTGCTCTAAGTGGCTTCTAGACTTTTCAGTCAAGCACCCTTGAATACAATAAAGTTTCTCTATTATTGCTGAAAGACGGCACATTCCAACATGCTAAAGCTAGTAATTTAAGGACAGAGGGTAGTTTAGGAGCAGAATATGAGAGTTCAAATTATGGGGCAGTCACTTCATATAAGAAAGTCAATTGATTCTTTTTCATTTGTAAAAGATAAAATTGTATTAAAAACTCAAGTACATTATAAGAATCAAATAAGAAGTTTCAAAGACTTTACAAAACTGCAAAATATATTCTGATTTTCCCTTGCAGTGCTAGGGATCAAACACAGAGCCTTATGCATATTAGGCAAGCATTTCACTACTGAGCTATATCCCCAACCTTCAAAATAATTAAACATATAATATATGAAGCTATTAGTACTCCATGACAAAAGGGCAGTCAATTTGTGAGAAAGAAAGCCAATGGATAGCTATTAAATGATTCCTAAGACGGAAGTAAAACAACACAAACAGATACAGATAGTGATAACATTAAAGCGAGCTTACAGAAACTTATTTATTCCTTAGATTTCTCTCAGAACATTTTCAAGTTAAAGAAAACTTTTATGAGGAATGCTAAAATTCAAATGAAATATCTATTTTGAAGGAAATATCTATTTTTCAGTGTGACCTCTACTGGTATATAGATCAGTGCAAATTTTTAATTACTTGAATACGTGGAGAACACCATGCTTCTTTGTTATAGAGCAGGAACAGAAATGCCCATTTACATTTTACAATGGGAGGAGTAATGATACAAGACCTAATTCAGAAATGGATGTTTCCAGCCATTTTGATTGTCCAAAATACATTAGGAACCAGGAGTGATGATTCCCTCACATTACAGGACATATAAGTATTTACTGAAGGGAAATCAAACAGCACATTCTAAAAATGCAAAATGACTATAACTCAATGTTATCCAATGAACTAATACAATCAAATGAATTTGTAAATTTGCTTAAATAAACAAAGATAACAGGTCTTACCTCCTTTAAGCCACTAAAAGGTCCGATGGCTGAAACTGTATTTCCTTGAACCATGATGTAACAGTTTGTTAGGAGTTCCAATGCCTACATCAAAGGAACATTAAACAGAAATTAAACAGAATAACTAATGAGAAAAAACTTCCAATTTTTTCCATTGACAAAAAAAAAGTACCTTCAATGTAGATCCTTTGGGACCAATAAGCCGTTGTCTTCTTTTTACAAATCTCTCTTTATTTCTTACTAAAGAACCTATTTTAATAATATCACATGCCACATCATCCTGAAGAATTCGTACTGCCTTTCCAAAAAAGTAAAATAAAATCAGTATTTTTTTTTTTTACAACTGGTATTTATGTCCCAAGGCCAGACTAATAATGCCTGCACACAAACAGGAAAGTCTATGATGGAAAGAGGACAGGGAGGGGTAAGGAAGAAGATACCATATTACAGGCTGTCTAAACATGTAGATAAAGCAAAGTACTTCTCATTTACCTGTTCAAATGAAACACTCCTTGCTAACAGTTTTATTAGGTCTCTGGCTCTAACAATAATGTATGGATCAAAAGTCTTCTTTGTAGTACACACAGTCATACTGCCCTCAATCAGGTCCAGAGTTGCATTGACATGCTACAAAAAGAAACAAAAAAAAAGAATGGCTTAAAATGAATTTAGTTTCTGATAATTACAAAGTCTTTCTCATCCTAACTTAATTTCTGGGCCTTAAAAGGCTAGGCTACCTCTCAAATCCTATCAACTCTTTCCCTGGAAAAAGCTGTGTAATTACATATGAGTATTTGATTACTTTCAAACTTCACAAAATCTAAGAAACTGAAGCAACTGAAATCTTTTACATCTGGTTTTAGAATACTGTGTATTTATTGGAATAAAGACTATGTCTAATTTTAAATATATGCATGTGTACATACATACATCAACCCAAATGTGCGCAAAGTGAGACCTATCTAAGATACTTTGGTAATTAAAACTATAGTTTCTCTATCCTGAACCCAGGATGTGCCCTCAAAAGCGAAAAATAAATGTTGCTTTCAAACTTTTTTTCTGGTTAGGGTATGCAATAATAAAGCAAAAGAAAATTATAACAGGTTCAGAAAGAAGCAATCAGGAAACTGCAGCATTAACACTGAATAGCCCAAATCAGATATCCACAAAGGAAATAAAAATGCTATTTTCTGACTTTACATAATATGAAGAATGCTTTAGTAGTGAGTGATGAACACCTCAACATAAAGTTGGGTTTTCATGAGTTTCCAAGAAAAAAAATTAGTTTAATCTCAGACTTAGACAACTAAAAAGTATAGTCTGTTGCCTGCTAAGCCATGATTGTTTCCAATAGGTATAACCAACTCCACAGCTGTCCACACTGAGATACACATTTTATATCACAACTAGCATGTACGTGATAGTTACCCATACCAAAAGCTCATAATCACTAACATTTCAATCCCCTAACATGCTTCAATCCTCAATTTCAAAAATAACAAAAATACTGCTCTCGTGGGACATAGTAGCAGACAAATAGAAGATAGGCCATATATCTTTCATCCAAAACGAAAGTTAAACAATTACAAACATAAGTCCACTCAGACAAAGATATGGTCATGATCATGGCCTAGAATAGGCATTCTAAAATCTGTACTTCACAGGTGAGTTTATTTTGGCTAGTTTACAAAACTGTAAATGGTTAGAGGTGTGTAAACATTTTTCAAAGCACTTTATTACTGACAAAGTCAAAAGTGCAAGAATTGTAAAAATACAAAGTTTACCTATAATGTTTAAATACCAAAGAAACTAATTTAGCCAGCTATCTTGTACCTCTAAAAACAAAACCAATCAGCATGCACATAATTACTTAAAATAAGCAAGAGCAAAATCTCAAAGAAATGTACAAAATATGCATACATGTTCACTCAAGGCTTTCTGCACCAAAGGCCAACACTCTTTCAAGTAAGCCTCTCTATATTTTGGAAACAAAGTTGCAAAACTGCTTTCTTCCAAGAGTCCTCTGGGATTGTCTTCTTTAGAAAAAGGGGGTTCCTTCCAACCATCAGGAACAGTAAGGAGTTCTGGTTCATCTGTAGTGGGGGAAAAAATGTACCCAGTACATTTTAATGGTCTTTTTAGTACTTTGTAAATATTACATGCACACATTCATGAATTCCCAATACTCTCCTTGCATTTCCTCTTCTTGGTTTTTGTATTATACAACAATCAAAGAACATGACTCAGTCATTATTAAACCCCTATAAAATTACCAACACATTCAACAAGATTATCAAAACATGTTACAAGTCTAGTAAGAAAGAAAACGGTTAGGGCATGGGCACTTCCTACATCCACATTAGTTAACATATGCAAGACAAAAAAGATACCCAAAAAACTCCTACTTCCCTGCACCATGGTAGAGTTGAAGGCTCACATTTGTTTATATCACTATTTTAAGTACTAATGACCTTTACTGACTTTCCTGGTGTGGAACTTCACTGTATATGTGTGTGTATAATTAGCATTTTAGGGTTTGGGGATCTGGAATTCCAAAGTCTTTTCAGGGGCCTATTTCTACAAGTCTTTGACAGCAATACAAACATAAGAAGAAGCTGTATTTTGAGTCCGATTTTATACAAGACATTCAGTCCATAAAGAGTCAGTGTGATTTTGATCTTTTTATATCTATAGTCTGTTCTGTGTGTTCGTGACATTTTTGAAAGCAACAATTAAAAAAAAAACAAACAACTTTTGATACTTTCCCGACGGATCTGGAATGAAAGTTCAAGCTTTTTTTTGTTTTTTTTTAAAACTTTCTACAAAATTGACTGAGCAAGTCCCCGGACTATTTCTCTAGTGATCTTTTCCATTCCTTCACATTGTAAAACCAAACTACGGAGCAGACAATTTAAAAATAGCGCAGCAAGGTAAACGAAACGCGTCGTCTACAAGGTGTATCGCTGTGTCTGACCAAACACAAGCCAGAAATAGCAGCTACGTATTGCAAATCTTCTTTACTGACTGAATAGCTAGAGTTAAGGACCAGGCAGTAACTTCCGGCCCGGTGGCTCGTCGGCTCCAGGCCTTCCGTCGGCTAATTCCATCCCTACGCGGCGGGGTCCCAGTCCTCCACGGGCCGGTCCCGGTGCGGCCTGCGCGCGCCTCCGCGCTGCTCCCCGCCACGTCTTCACCCCCGACTTTCTCCAGGACACGGGTTCCACTGCGGCTCGACTCTGTGGGACTGGGAACGCGTGGCCGGGCCCCCCGCAGGCGGGTCCCAGCCGGCGCGGCCGAACCCCTCCACCGCCCGGAACAGGCCACGGACGACCTCACACCGTCACACCCACGAAGGGGGCGGGTAAGCACACTCAACGCCCACCACAGCCAGGCTTCGAGTCCCCCACGGCCTCACCTCGGTTTTCTGTATCCGGCTTCTGATTTCGAAATTCTTTCTTCGTAGGTCCCACCGCTCCAGAAGCAGGACTGCCTACCGTGGAGGACGCCATTTTCGAGCGACTTCCGGTATTACCGGAAGTGACACGGTTCTTCAATCCTGCCGGCTAAAACAGCTGCCGGGCAAAATGAGTTCCGAGGAAATTCAGGCGAGATCCTCACAGTCTCCGTACGCTCAAGCACCAACTTCGGCGCTTCCCCGCCCCGGGGCCCACGCAGAGCTGAGGACATCCTTCCCAAGATACACTGCAACCTCGGAGTTCAACTGCATTCTGGGAATTGTAGTTTACCAATGTGTCGGTCTGTAGTTTGGTGGCCCCAGGGTCTAAACTGGAATCGTTTTGCTCCGAGTTTGGCCACTGAGTGCAATGAGACTACAGTTGATATCTCTCAATAAATATCTGTATGCTTGACAGGTATGTTTTAGGGTTTAGTAGGAGGTGCAAATAGGAAAATATATGGTCATCCAGGGCAAGAAATGGCAAGAACACCCAGTATTCATTGAGTGGTGTGTGTGTGTGTGTGTGTGTGTCCGTGGTGTGTGTGTCCGTGGTGTGTGTGTGTGTGTGTGTGTGTGTGTGTGTGTGTGTGTCCATGGTCTCTCTGTTCCTGAGCTTCTTTGCTCAAGGCTAGCGCTCTACCACTTGAGCCACAGCGCCACTTCAGGTTTTCTGGTGGTTTATTGGAGATGAGTTTCATGGCTTTTCCTGCCCGGGCTGGCTTTGAACTGCGATCCTCAGATCTCAGCCTCCTGAGTAGCTAGGATTACAGGCGTGAGCCACCAGCGTCCGAACTTCCACTGCTAACCTTTTGCAACTTAGTTTCATGCCATGAACCGGAATAATCAGTTCTCCGCTGAGTAGTTAGGATTACTGGTGCGAACTACTGGCACCCGGCCATTTACATTATTTTTAATCCTTAAAAAGTTAAGACAAACAGAACTCTGTAACATGGATGTAATTTTGTGTGAAGTAAATTTTCAAAGCCGTTGTTTCTGATGGTCTCTAAATCAGAGAGAATATCTAAACAATACTTCTGAAGACAGTAGGGTCCGCCAGCTTCATTTTCCACGGGGGAGATGTTCTAACGTGCCCAGTGGAAGCCTGAGGACAATACTGAATCTGTATATTCTGCTTTTTCTATATATGTATAAAAGTTTCTTTAATAAATTGTCACTATAAGAGATTCACAACAATAATTAACAAAATAGAACAATTATAACAATGCCATAAAATCATGTAACTGGTTCCTCAAAATATTTTATTATACAAGGCTCATTTACTGTGATGATATAATATGTAAGGATATAATACCTACTTTATGTGATAAAGTGTGGTAAATGACAATAAGCATGTGACAGCATTAATCTGTAAGGCATTCAATATATTCAATCCTTTGAAGGAGGATCATAGATGAAGAACTGATTTCCTGGAAATCTGAAGAAGAGAAATAAGAGTGAGCAGAAACTATTATAACAACTAAACTAATAATTCCTTCTCCCCCAAATGACTGACTCCTGTCTATCCCACTACTGGATATGCCTGACTTAAAGATATATGAAGAGGCTCATCACTGATACTCTAAAAATCATCTTTGTCCAAATCCTAAGCAGGTTCTTGTCTAAAGACTTCTGAAGATTGATCTTCTTTCTTTCCCTTTCTAAAAATCCTTGTTGCAAAAACAAGGGAGTCCTTGATAGAGTAAATATCTATGAAATGAAATGTGATGGGATGGAGGTTGTCTGAAATCTACTAAAAATTTAAGGTTATCATGTACAAAACATAGGGTTACTTATGGATGATCCCAAGACACCTGACTCTGTTAATTTTGTTTTTATCTGTAACAGAGATTTTATTCCGTTCTTACAATTTTCTTAGACAGGCAATGATATATCTCTATAATAGAACAATCAACAACATGTGAAAGTTATGAAGTAGTGAATGCATCTTTCCATATTCCCAGCAATGCTGCAAAACAGGTTTGTATTATGCTTACTTTAAGCAAGTCAATCGTTGATGCATGGTTGGTCAGGCTTCAAGTCCAGGCAGCTTGACCATTTGTAGCTCCAGAAAGACTACTGGGCATTAGGACTAGCACATTGGAAGGAGGGCTGGTGGGATAGGTTGCAGGTGGTAAGAGACTTGGTCTTAAAGTATTCACAGCACTTTATTTTATAGCAAAAATTTCTACAGAAGCTTTTGTTTTCAGGTGCATATATGTTTCAATGCTGTCCATTCTATTGTTAAAAATGACTATAGGTATTTGAGGGACCTTGGTATCTGAAGACATTCTTTTCTGCTTGACTCTTAGGCTCTCTAGGACCCAAGCCAATAAAACATTCAAATTTCTTGGGGAATCTAATATAATCTCTCCTACTATTTCAGAGCAATCTTTCCTCTTTCTCTTTATGAGTGTTCTTATTGATAAGTAACGGCTTTGACTTAATTTTCAGTTATAATATTCTTCCCCCTGAAGTAAAGTTGTAACGCTCTTCATACCATTAGGATCTGCCATAGCAACAGAAGGCTTTTAAATGAATGCATGAATATTCAAGATTTAACCAGCGGCATATGAAATATATTGATACTGCTGAAAATTATTTTATGCAAATGGAATAAACTACAGTTTTTATTGCAATACCCGACACAAAAGGAATATTAAGCTTTCTGAATATTAAGCTCAAGTCATTTGTTACCCCTATATGCTTCCCACTTCCTTCAGCTATAGGCATCACAGATGGCTGACAATGACATGAAATTTTTACACAAAGAATTTTAAGCATTTAATGGATTTATATCTAAATAAGTCACTTGATTGTGTTGGTAAGATGTTGGCATTACCCTTCATTGTTTGAAATTCTCTTATCTAAAATTCTAACGTGGGTATAGTGGCTCATGCCTGTAATCCCAGGTACTCAGGAAAAGCTGAGATCAAGATAGTTATAATATGAGGCCAGCCATATAGATATCCTCAAGATCCCATCTCAACTGATAAAAAGCTAAGCTCATTGGTACATTCTATCACCCAAGCAATATGACCAACATATATAAGAGTATCATGGTTAAGGCTACCCAGGCATAAAAAGAAACACTGTTCAAAAACTAAGGAAAAGAAGAATGCAGGCATGGCTAAGTGGCAGAGCACCTGTCTGGCAAGTATAAGGCCCCAAGTTCAAACCTCAGTAGCACCAAAAACAAAATAAAAATAAAATTTAAAGGTTATCTCCACATACTGAGAGATATGCAGATTCAGCTTTTTAATATTACACACTTTACTAATGTGATAAAGCTCTACAGACATTTTTCCCAGAAAGCATATATATCTGAATGCATATAAAGTACACTTGTCCATTGAGCCAAGGGACCAGACAATCAGATTGAGTGTCCTTACCTTAAGCAATATGGGAGTGATGTCCTAGGAACTTGGATCTGATCTTAGTAGCACTAAGTCCTCTGTGCTTACAGCATCCTGGAGAGGTAGAAGGGATTGAGACTTTTCTTTACCTTAGTAAACACATACCATCTACAATTAGAACTTCTGTATGATTTAGATGCATTACATACAACGATATATCTAAATACTCATTTACTCTATTGCAAGCCATAGAAAATAACTTAAAATAATTTAAGTAAACAAGAAAATTCACTGTCCTATAAAACCAAGTCTATGATCTAGGAGCTGGACAACACCAAGATATTGATGTTCCCTCTCAATCCCTAGCTCTCTCTTCTCTTCCTCTCTTCCTTTCTCTTCTCTTCTCCTCTCTCTCTCTCTCTCTCTCTCTCTCTCTCTCTCTCTTTCTCTCTTTCTCTTCCCTTTATGTCTTTCTACTTTCTCCGTCTTTCCCTCTTTCTTCACTCCCTCTTCCCTTTTCCTCTCTGCCAACACTACAGAAGCCAGCTACCATGCTTCAAGTAAACTGACGGTGAAACCCTCATGCAGAGGAAGCAAAGACTTCTGACAACAGACCTATGCAAGAGCTTAGAAGCAGATCCTGCAGTCCACTCGAGCTTTCCAGTGGCTGATGGCTGCAGACTTAGCTGCTCCTTGGTCGGCAGCTTCTGAGAGGCCATCAGCCACAAGCTGGCAGCTAAGCTACTCACAAACTCCTCACCCTCAAGACATGTAAATGTTTGTCATTTTAAACTGCTAACGTTTTGTAGTATTTTTTTTACACGAATATGACTGGAGTGTGTCTAAACATCATAAAACACCAGATTTGGATGGGAATGGAACAGGAACCTTTTTCTCAGTAGAAATAGTTGTCTTAGGTTCTTGCCACTAGGGGGCAAGTGGTCACAAAGGATAGCTTGTGTGAAAAATTGAAAGGGTTATAGGAAACTTATTATGTAGTGCTTGACATTTATAATAAGGGGTAAAGAGGTAGGTAGAAAAAGAAGACAGCAGTCCTGACATATTGTAATCTGTAGCAATATGTTGCACTGATCTTGAAATGTTCGTTATGGAAAACTTATTGAAAAAAATCCCATGATATGAAAAAGATAGGCGAGATACATCCTTGTCTGAAACATCCTGTAGAAATTTTGAAAAATAATTCAACTGGGTGCTGGTAGTTCATACTTGTTATCCTAGCTACTCAAGAGGATGATATCTCAAGGTTCAAAGTCAGTCCAGGCAGGAAAATCTGTAAAGAGTCTTATCTCTAAATAACCACCAAAAAGGTAGAGGTGGAGCTGTGGTTCAAATGGTAGAATGTCAGCCTTGAGAAAAGAATCTAGGGACAGTGTCCAGGCCCTGAATTAAAGCCTCAGTACTAGCACAAATAATAATAATAAATATATCATTATTATATTATAAAATCTAACAATTATTTAATCAATGATAATAGGATAGAGTAGAACAAATCGCATAATGTTGTCATTTTTATGTTTATCACATATTGTAGACTACATAGATGGAAAATTATTGGTATAGAATCAGAAACTTTTTAATTAATTATAATTTTAGGACATTAACTTTATTGTAAGATGAAAACATCTGAATGAGATGTGTTCTGCTTTGAAATCAGTGATAATGAGATAATTCTTTGCTTAAGGCAATCAGATTAAAACAGACATCCATTAGGACTGTAGCTTAACCAAAAACAAACATAATGTTAATATCATTAATATTCATTAGTAGGATAGTCGGTAAGTGGTAAAACTTTCAGCCTTTACAAGTTCAAACTGATGCTTTTTTAACCACTGGGGAGAGGCTTATCAACACTAAAGAGACCCTAAAATAACTGTCTGATTTTTCAAAATTGCAATCAGTCCAAATACTGTGGCATGTCATCCTACAGTGAACATAAGGACTTATAAATAGAAATAGCAACAAGTGCTTTCTTTCCATAATGAATTCTTACCTTGGACAACAAATGACTGAGCGATGTTTACCTTCCTCACATGCCTGTCTGACTAGACAATGTGACCAGTCTGAGGACATTCTCCAGCCCCCCAGATCCTCAGTAGTGTCTGTGCGTGGGATAAAATTAGAAAAATTAT